ATTCAGTTGGTGACAGGACGTTGAAAGTACTGTATTTGTGATAGTGTAAAAAGAGCAAAGGGAAGAAGCAGATGAACACAAAACACTGAACATTTAATTCAGATCTAGGCTTTTGTAGACAGTTGAAGTCTGAGAACACAATGGCAGAACATACATCTCAGTAAAGGAGCCTCATGCTGTTCTCATGTATTTTTAGCCCACCAACTCACAAGACATTTGGGATGTGTTTACCATCTACAGATCAAGCCATAGTTCACCTTTTACTCTCCAGAGTTAAAGGACCATGATTACTGTGGACCGCTGTTGAACCGTAACAAACTCACAATACAGCAATACACTTTCTCAGTTTGCAATATCAAGCATCATAATGGACTGTTTTTTGTTCAGATAACACAATCAAATGATTCACGATAAGCGCTTTGAAGTCCCGATGTGAATCAAATGATTCACGATAAGCGCTTTGAAGTCCCGATGTGAATCAAATGATTCACGATAAGCGCTTTGAAGTCCCGATGTGAATCAAATGATTCACGATAAGCGCTTTGAAGTCCCGATGTGAATCAAATGATTCACGATAAGCGCTTTGAAGTCCCGATGTGAATCAAATGATTCACGATAAGCGCTTTGAAGTCCCGATGTGAATCAAATGATTCACGATAAGCGCTTTGAAGTCCCGATGTGAATCAAATGATTCACGATAAGCGCTTTGAAGTCCCGATGTGAATCAAATGATTCACGATAAGCGCTTTGAAGTCCCGATGTGAATCAAATGATTCACGATAAGCGCTTTGAAGTCCCGATGTGAATCAAATGATTCACGATAAGCGCTTTGAAGTCCCGATGTGAATCAAATGATTCACGATAAGCGCTTTGAAGTCCCGATGTGAATCAAATGATTCACGATAAGCGCTTTGAAGTCCCGATGTGAATCAAATGATTCACGATAAGCGCTTTGAAGTCCCGATGTGAATCAAATGATTCACGATAAGCGCTTTGAAGTCCCGATGTGAATCAAATGATTCACGATAAGCGCTTTGAAGTCCCGATGTGAATCAAATGATTCACGATAAGCGCTTTGAAGTCCCGATGTGAATCAAATGATTCACGATAAGCGCTTTGAAGTCCCTATGTGAATCAAATGATTCACGATACGCGATCCGATTCACTATATTTTAAATAGTTTGACCACTGCAATTCAGTTGGTGACAGGACGTTGAAAGTACTGTATTTGTGATAGTGTAAAAAGAGCAAAGGGAAGAAGCAGATGAACACAAAACACTGAACATTTAATTCAGATCTAGGCTTTTGTAGACAGTTGAAGTCTGAGAACACAATGGCAGAACATACATCTCAGTAAAGGAGCCTCATGCTGTTCTCATGTATTTTTAGCCCACCAACTCACAAGACATTTGGGATGTGTTTACCATCTACAGATCAAGCCATAGTTCACCTTTTACTCTCCAGAGTTAAAGGACCATGATTACTGTGGACCGCTGTTGAACCGTAACAAACTCACAATACAGCAATACACTTTCTCAGTTTGCAATATCAAGCATCATAATGGACTGTTTTTTGTTCAGATAAAACTTCTGTACTTTTTAAATACACATTCCTGGTCTTAATTATCATTGCTTGTAATTCTAAAGAAAATAAATGATTGTCTTTGTAATCTTGTATCAGAATGCCATAACTCGCCTCCAATTCCAGATCCACATTTACGCTTTTATCCAAAAAGCATCCAATGCTTATGAAGCAACATCTGGGACATTTGTTCTAAGCTACAAAAGAAAAAATTTTTTTTAAGTGCTCTTGCTGAGAACATATGCAACATAATTAAAACCAGTCTAGTGTGCTAAAATAAACTCAGCACTTGTTCCAAAGAGGTAAAGATCCATGTTCATGCATTATATTAAAGTTCATCAAGGTCAGCGATGTTCAGTGTTGCCAACTCATTTTCAGATGAAGTTGCTAAAGGAAGGTTGATTTGTTGCTAAATGATGTTGTGATATCATTGCGTGATGACGTCATTACGTCATCACGACGCAAAATTGTGTCAAATCTCAGCAAAAACATATATATTTTATGTTTGTTAATTTAGATTTGTTCGTAACAATATAAATGCATAATATAAAATAAAAAAATAAATAACATTTTAAATGCATTGAATTATCGAAAACGTACACATTTTTGAACGATTACAATTTAATTTTTTTTATTATTAGCTAGTAAACAAGTAAAACTACACATTCTGAACAATTATACTTTAAAGCAGTGTATTAGTAGTTTGTTATTATGCTACACTCTAAAAAAAGTCTATAAAAATAGTGCACAATCTACTATGTTAATATGAAGGAATTTTCTGTGATGATTTTTTCACAGTTTTTTTTTACCTGCATTTTTAATTATGCATTGTATTTTGTGTTTTCGGGTTACAACGGATAACGGATAATGTCCTGCAAAATTACTAGCACGTTTTCCATTTTTCTGCATATTTTTCTTACAGTGTACTAACTCATCAACAATCGCAGGTACAAGCTACTAACAAAGTGTCTCATAAATGACCAATAACAGTACTCAATTATTCAATTATTATTATTATTCCTATTAAATTAAACAATTGCAAATAGCAGCTAACTTAATTCCTGTGACGTGTGTACTGCTAGGCATCTTTGGTTTTCATCTTTTTGTGTTATTTAAATGGTAAATTGTGCCTTTTTATCATTTGAGTCACATCAAAAGTTGCCAAATAAATTTTAAAAATAGCTACATTTGTTGCTAGGTGCTTCTGGAAGAAAAGTAGCTAGGGTAGTCTGAAAAGTTGCTAAATTTAGCAACAAAATTGCTAAGCTGACAACACTGGCGATGTTAGCTACAAACCTGAAACACTTTCAGAGAAAGTAGCTCCACCATGTTTTATAACACAGTTTTTATTTCACAGGAAGTTCTCTACACTCGTATTTCATAAATGACATGTGATGCCCTCAGCAGTGTAGAAGATATTAATACTACACTGAGAGAGTTTACAAGCCAATCTCTCTAAACCAGTACTGTACACAAATGCAAAACTTTGGGATAAACTAAACCAAATGTCTTTAGTATTTCCCACTTGACTTGATTTGTCAATAAAATCATGTGACCAGAAATAAGGCACTGAAAATGTCCATTGTGCTCAGATAACTGACATTTTAACATCACCAGCTCAACCAGACAAAAACATAAAGACTGACTTTATGATTCCAGTGATGCAATCAAGAGCACAGCTTAGCACTGAAATAAATATGAAAATTTCTTACCAAAACACAATTATAAAAGAAAAGAACTGCAGAAGACTCTGAACAGGTGAATTCTGTCTGCGGTTCCTCTAGACAATTATATTGACTCATTTCTAAAGTATATACAGAGAGCTGCTGTTGTTATTACGACATACATGTCAACATGACACTTTGAAATGATCACACTTAGGGTACATTTACAGGACAACGTTTGTACTAACGTTTGTACAGACAACAATGTTGTCAAAGTGATCCCAGTTCACACGGATCCACATAAAAGTTGTCGATGTCACTTTGTAATGAAACACATGCATGTAATCGACCATGCCTATAGACTTATATAGTCTACATAGACTAGTGTTAAAGAGAAGAAAAATAAATAAAATAAACCACATCGTAAAAAACAAACAAACAACTAAACAATAGTTCAAATTTTCTTCCTTTTTCCTTAGGGCATATTCACAGATTGCAGCGGGGGAGCTATATTAGAAAAAAAATTCCCCATGAAATCTAACAATATGTCATTGTTTTTGTTATTAATTTGCATGGAGACAAATCACAATTATAAAATAAATAACACAAGTCTTCCTCTTGTGTTACAAAAACTGCAAGTATTGTCAATGTCCATGAATTTAGAAAGAGCTACTTTACATGGGTAAATTTTGTGATGGTATGTTGAAATGCACCTCTTTAACTTTATTCAAAATACAAAATTTGTAAGGATTTGACCAGGTAGTTTTCCAATTAATATCAGAAATTTTTGCATTCCAAAAGAACTTTCCTCTAGGGGAGATTTTAACCACAGCTGCCATTTTTTTACCGTAAATTTTACTGAATTTTTTTTTACAGTGTATAGACTGAATACGTAATATGCATGTGCATGATGTCACCGGTTTCACAAATTTGCATTTTTAAAAAGTTTACATGGAGACAATAACGGTATCATTTTCAAAAACGTGCACTTTGAAACCCGTTTTAAAAAGTTTGCGTTTTCAGGTCCCCAAAACGACATCGTCGTGCAAATGAACGACCAAAACGCAAGAAAGTTTTCCGTATTTCACCGTTGAAAAGGGCGTTTTGTCAAGTAGATTTCTGTTGGCAATTGTGGTGAATTTGTGTAAACAACTTGAACATGAGAGAAATCTTGTCACCTTCACGCAAAACACTCGACTGCGCGGATTCCTATTGGAATGACTCAATTTCACCCGCAAAATTTTGCTGAGCAACGATAAATGTGATGCACCTTGATAATGGGTTTTAGAGTGCAAATAAATTACAAAATGCAAATTTGCAAAAACGGTATGTGCATTATGTGTGTATTTTACAAAGTTACATCGCCAACTACTGGCCTGGCATGAATAATACAGTGTTTTTGGTCCGTGTAAACAAGGATCGACAACATTTTCAAAATAAAACTTTTCAAAAACACAAATGAAAAGCATTTACATTTTTAGAACATTGTTGTCATGTAAATGAACAATTAGTCAGATAAAACCAGTCAATTGTTTAAAATACAAAATACAACATCAATAAAAAAACAATTACTATTTAATATAATTATAATAATTACTATTATTATTATGATACATTAACTATTTATTGAAAGGGTGTGCACAGGTATGGGTTGGTATATTTCACAAGTTACTTTTATATTCAATACTAGCATACTAATATATAGTTTCAGCCAATAAATAAAAGTTATAAAGACCCATAGATACAAATATAAAGACCTTTTTGCTCTAGATTTATATTGGAAAGAAAATTAATGAATCTGATATAATCATTAATCTGTTTCATAGGGCTTCACTTTTGTTTGATGGGCCTTATTCAATGTTGACATAATTTATACAGAATTCATTCTTCTGATGTTTCATGAAAGAATGACGTAATTATTTAACGCAATGAGTGTTCCCTAACAATAAATAATAATCCACCACCCTTACTCTCTTTTAGGATGGAAAGTTGCAGAAGAACAGTTGTTTTCATGATCTTCAGACTGGAGTTCATACGGTTGGACTTTTGTTTAGTATGAGGTGTGGTTGTTAATTGGGAGTGTTTTTCTCATGTTGAGATGATCTTTTGACCACCGTTAGGACCAGCGGCCGATGGAGGCGAAGTTTCGGCTCATGTCGTACGTATATTCGGCGTTCTGATGTTTTCCCCAGGCTCCAAACGGGACGACAATGACTGTGCTGTTGTCCTCCGAGCCGTACTGCAGAGCCTGAACAACACAAACTCAACTTTACGAAGAGGAATCTTACACCGTCGTGCAACAAAGTAGGGCTGTCAAATAAAAATTCGAATTTCGAATATTTGTCGAATTTAAAATAAAAATCCACATTCGAATGCAAAAAAGTTGCTTTCAAATTTTAGGTGTGCGTCAGGCAGCCTTATTAGTGGCGCACAAGATGCGTTGTCGATGTAGATGTCATTGCATTTTAATGCTTTTGTTAGCCTATCCAGTTAAACCCACTAGATTCAGCGCTGCTCATTCAAAATATTGCGGAAAAAAAGAAAATCAGTGCGGAGAAGGTCTACGGCAAAACTGAAACCAAGCCATTCGCACAGAATGCATATTTATCGCATTTTCTATAGGGACATCTATCACTGTTGCACTCGTGTCTCGCAATTACAAATTAATGTAAGTTCAACTTTTTAAAAAACACGTCTCGAGACTTTATGGCGTTTTTTTCCCCATCCCACTTCATCTCATGTTTTTAAATGGAAAAAAGTACTCTTTGTTATTGGTTTTCGGTCCTTTGTATTAAACTATACAAACATACATACATACATGATGCTGTTTTGTTTCTAATTGTTTATGCAACTTAATTATATTTGGTTTAGAAACATTATTTTAAATATTATGCACTTTGTTCAAAGGTAGTAGTGTTATTTTATTACTTTGAATAAACGTGCATTAGTAATATTTTGCTCGATGCGCCCTCTTGTGGCCTCAGGAGAGAAGCCAAAAGCTTTTTTCCGCCTCACTGAAATTATGGCTTTTAAATTTGAATGTAATTCGAATGTTGATAATATTTAAGTACAAAATTCAAATGTAGTTTTTCAGCCATTTTGACAGCCCTACAACAAAGTTATACCTTATTCAAATGATGGGCAGAATAACTTCAGTATCCCATTTTTACTTTGTCAGATTATGATTTAAGTTTCTAAACCTGTTCAGCAATGACGTTTGCCGCCTCGGTGGGGTCGTGGCACTGGTTGATGACGTCACAGATCTCCTGGTTGGTCATGATGAAGTTGATGCCGTCGGTGGTGAGAACCAGGAAAGAGTCGTGAGCGTGCTGCAACTACAGACGTGAGGGAACAATGAGAACAGATTTGACAAGCTTTGCGCATGGAATTTAGCTCCATTCTATGTTTCATGTCACTTAAAGGGATAGTTCACCAAAAAACTCGCGGAGGAGACGAATTGTTGAATAAAGTCAATATTTTTGTTTTCTTTGTGCACAAAAATTATTCTTGTAGCTTCGTAAAATTACGTTTGAACCCCTGATGTCACATGGATTATTTTAACGATGTCCTTGCTACGTTTATGGACGTTGATCGTGGTAGTACCCTTGCTGTCTATGGGAGGGTCAGAGAGCTCTCGGAATGCATCAAAAATATCTTAATTTGTGTTCCGAAGATGAACGAAGGTCTAACGGGTTTGGAACGACATGAGGGTGAGCAATTAATGACAGAAATTTCATTTTTGGGTGAACTATCCCTTTAAACTCTAATAAAACATTTGAAATGGCACAAAATTAAATAAAGCACAATTTAAAAGCCAGCCTTTTATTTTGAAATAATGCAATTGACTATAATGTGACAAGTGCATACTAGAGTTCGAGTGGTCTCTGGTTCTGCGATCACGCCGCTCTTCTTCAGGTCGAAGTCTCCAATACTGCGGGTCATTGCCAACCGGCCGTTAACGTTTGCCTGACCGACGCTATTCCAGGTCACAAACCCACCACTCTGACGAATTCTACAAACACAGATATTACTTATATATTGGGTAGGCTGCATTTATTTGAAAAAGTAAAATCAGAGTAAAATCAGTAATATTGAGAAATATTATTGCAGTGCAAAATATCTGTTTTGTGAATATATTGTAAAATATAATTAATTTCTGTGAAAGCTGAATTTTCAGCATCATTACTCCAGTCTTCAGTGTCACATGATCCTTCAGAAATCATTCTAATATGCTGATTTGCTGCTCAACATTTCTGATTTAAATTATTAAAAACATTTTTGTTATTCCAAATAAAATAAAATATAAGAATTAGATGAAACCTAAACTGTGAAAATTAGAAATGCTGCTTTGGCAACTGGGTTATTATAGTTAACTAAAACCAAAACCATTAAAAATATATATTTTTGTTACTCAAAATAAATGTTAACTGGAATAAAAATAAAATCTATGAAAAAAAATAATAATTTCAGCTTAGTTGACAAGGCAACATTTTATTTATCAATTTTATTTAGTTTAACTTGATGTACTAAATTAACTAAAAAGAATTTAAAAAAACTACATAGGCATATTTAATATTAAAAACACAACAAAATTACTATAACTAAAATGAGTGAAAATATTAAAATATTAATACAAACTATAACAGTATACAACTAATACCACAAACACAATACTGTCTTAATTTCTTTAATATTATATTTAGAAACTTTAAATTTGTTGATTGCAACATGTTTTTCTTGACAATAAATGACACTTGATTTCAAGATTTTGTATTTAGTGCAATGACATTTAATTTAAGTGTCCCTTAGATGTGTCCAAATCATTTGTACTGTCCAATTATTGGCATTTACAGCCTATTCCAAGATATTGCAACAAAAATGTGTCCGAACAGTAGCCTAAAACAGTACTTTTAAGTGATACACAGAAATTCTTCTGCAAATAACCACATAGGCAAACAAACGCTTGAATAACACTGCATGTGTCATGGGTTGCCAGGGGAAAGTAGCTCTAAGGAGTACAAAGGAGGCAGATAGTCAAACGAACAGAGTCTTTAATAAATCTTCATGGGAACGTAGGAGAAAACAACCTCTTACTACGACGGAGACAGGACAAAGAAACTGAGGAAAGGCAGGGCTATAAATACTAAATCAAATGATGGACTAATAGGATGATTAACGAACACAGGTGGAAACTAATGAACTAACCAAGCAACACAGGAAAACTAGGTCAAAGCAGGGAGAACAGAAACACAGAACATAAACGTGACATATCGCCCCCCTCCCGGAAGGCGCGTCCCGCGCCGTACCAGTGCCAACGAGGAGGGGGGTGGGCGCCCTGGAGGCTGGTGCAGGGCAGGAACAGGGTGGAGACAAGGAAGGCCTCCAGGGCGGATCAGGGAGTTCGGGGCGCCATGGCGGAGCAGGCAGACTAGGAGGCCATGGCAGAGCAGGCAGCTCGGGAGGCCATGGCAGAGCAGACAGTTCAGGTTGCCATGGCGGATCAGGGGACTCAGGAGGCCATGGCGGATCCTCCGTGACCTTAGCCGGCTCTGCCACCATGGCCACGGGCATATGGCCCCCCCTCAAAAAAAAATTTCTTGGGGAAAATTAGGAATTCTGGGGGGCGCTCTGGAGGAGCAAGCGCTGGCTAGCACAGGGGGCTCAGGAGACTCAGGAGGGCTGGACGGGACCAGCGGAGGTGAAGGAGACTCAGGAGACGAAGGAGAGTTTTCTGGAGCGGACTCAGGCGAGAGGATAGGAGCCGAGAACTCTGGGGGTAGCGCCATATCCAGGAGCGCTGAGAGGCACGCTGGAGTGGACTCTAGAGGGAGTGCTGGTGCCTCTTTTTCTGGGCGGATGGCTGGAATGGATCTTGGAAGGGCTCGGGAAAGCAGGGGTGGAACGGAGGGAGCAAGCTCATTGGAGCGGTATGTGGAGGGTGCTGGTTTATGGTGAACTGGAGAGCAAACATGCCTCCGGATAGGGACTGACTTCTGTCATGGGTTGCCAAGGGAAAGGAGCTCAAAGGAGTACAAAGATAGTCAGATAGTCAAACAAACAGAGTCTTTAATTCTGTTTGTTCCTGTGGCTCAGTGGTAGAGCATTGCGTCAGCAGCGCAAAAGGTCGTGGGTTCAATTCCCAGGGACACACATACTGGTAAAAAATGTATAGCTTGAATGCACTGTAAGTCGCTTTGGATAAAAGCGTCTGCTAAATGCATAAATTATATTAAATTATAAATTAAATTAATAAATCTTCATGGGAACATAGGAGAAAACAACCTCTTAATACGACGGAGACAGGACAAAGAAACTGAGGAAAGGCAGGGCTATAAATACTAAATCAAACGATGGACTAATAGGATGATTAACGAACACAGGTGGAAACTAATGAACTAATCAAGCAACACAGGAAAACTAGGTCAAGGCAGGGAGAACAGAAAGACAGAACATAAACGTGACAGCATGCACGTTTCTTATGGCCGTGAGCTGTAATGTGAGTTGCAGGTCTTTGCTTTTATTAATAGCACATAAGAGAGCGCTCTTCTATCACGACACATACCAGAACGTGTTATTCCTGGAGCGCTGGTGTGTGTGTGTTTGACTGTGTGTGTGTGTGTGTGTGTGTACCTGTGTTTCTCATCTTTCCTCTCTGGCGTGTGATCGTCGGTGAGTTTGCGCACTTTTCCCTTCCTGCACAGCAGAGCTCGACTGTCTCCGACGCTGCCAACGACCAGCTCGATCCCGTCTCGTAACATCGCCACCGTCGCCGTCGTGCCTACCATCATGAGGGAGGCTGGACCACATGCATAAACACACTTTACTGAAGTGTTCATCATGCAATGCATGAATTGAGAGACGCAGGATTCCCACTCTTTAAGCCAAATTCCCTGACTTTTCAATGACTGTCACTAAAAAAGCTGAATTTCTATGATCTATAATTAACAGAAAAACAGGCCGCTTTATTTACTTGTTCACAGATGTTTTTAGTACAAAACTAAGTAAAACACACATTAGTGCTGTCAAACGATTAATCGCGATTAATCGCATCCAAAATAAAAGTCTTTGTTTACATAATATGTGTACAGTGTATATTTATTATGTATGTATAATAGGCATGGGCCGATTACCGGTTTCAAGGTATACCGAGATTTGAAAATGTGACAGTTTCAAAACCGCTAATATTTTCTGTTATACCGTTCCTTCGGTATGCGCTGTTTTTCATGTCTCCTCAAAGACTGAAAGTGTAGGAGTCCCTCAGGTTGAGTGCAGTGTAGAGAGTAACACGACCCTCCTCCTGTTGGTGCGAGCGAGCGGTCAGTCATGTGTGTGTAGGACGGTCGAACTTAAGGAGCTTCCCCTGGAACTTACGCCATCGGCAACCGGCCGTTTTTTGTCTTATTGCAAGCAACTCGTCTCTGTTCTGGACTTGCACAAACTGGGGGGTTTATATGAATGTGTTTCTGAGGGGAACTGACTGTCTTCAGAAAAGTTTACGTGGTATTTTCTTTTCATCTCGTCTCTGTGTAGTTCATATTAAAGCAGTGTTTCAGCACAGTGCTACTTTGTTTACAGCGGTAACCAAGGAAACGCTGTATCTGGTGTTCCATGAGCGCCTCCTGCTGTCAGAGAGTGAATCTGCATCTCATTCAGAGCTTCTGCTGTTTGCTTCATTCAGGCATGTAGTATAATTTCACAAAGCTAGTCAGAACATTCTGTTTTTGCTTCAAATTGGGTTATTATTAAATCAAATTATGTATATGAAATTATATAACTAAATGATATAAATGATATGTATTTGAATTATATAACTAAATTAAATAACTGTAATTACAGATTTAGGTAAAATAAAGATGTCAGTTTTTCCTTTTTAGGAAACAAATCAAAGAAAAAAAAACAAATTCTACTGTTCCTAATATTATGTGTTGCTCAAAAACAAAATATATTGTGTTCAGCGGAAAA